GCGTGGAAAAACCTATCAGACGGAACATGGACGATGCCATGTTGACGGTCCATCTGTTCCTACAGCACCTGAGCACCAACAGCCCCGGTAGGGAGACGCTGGGTGGCTTTGGGAGGTCATGAGCAAGCTGGGAGCAGTTGGGTTTTAACTGGGACCGGTGTTACCGGTTCCTCTTTGCCGGGAGAGTCTCCATCCCGATAAACCAGCGAGAAGAAGGGACGGGCAGGCAGCTCATCCAAAACGCTCCGGCCAGAGCAGCTTGAAGGCCTGAGCGGACTGGGAGATGGTTTGCTCTGAGTAGGCACCTGTGTCATCCCTTCCGCTCTCAGGTCCTCTTGCTTCTCCATCATCGCGCTCCTCACTGCCAAGGACCCCAAAAAAACTCTGGGCAAGACTCCAGGGTCTGAAGGGGAAAGCTCACGGGTTCCTTTATGTCTTCTGCAGACGAGAGTGAACAGCTGAGCATCCTGATGGAGAAAAAGGACCGAGAAGAATGGGAAATGTCCTTCAAAGCCCTGGCTCAGCCCTTCTTCGAGGTGCGCCCCTGCCCGGCTGCTGCTCGCAGTTATCGTGGGCCCAAAGCACGGCTTTGCTGGTGGTCGTGCCCACGTCCAGACGCATCTGCTGAGTTCAGGGTGTTCCCAGGCGAACAAAAAGAGATTTGCTCCCCTCTTTTTTGAACTGGGACCTCCTCGGGCTGGGGTGATGGAGAACTCCTGGCTGGGGTGGTTTCCTGCTCTGCTTCTGCAGAGGGCGGGCTTCTTGGATGGTCTTTATACACCAGTTCCAATCCTCCTTGGAAACCAGTTGGGTTTCTTGGAGAAAATCACCCGTGGGTTTCTGGCTGGACAGTTCTGTCCTTCTCCCTTTGGTGGCAAGTTCTCACCATGCCCACCCGCCCCTACTTCTCCAGAGCCTTCGTTGCTTTTCTTTGTCCCAAGACCCTGTGAATCCCCTCGGGCTGCTCGGGTAACGAGGGGTGGTTCCTAACGCCCCTTGGGTTCTTGCAGGAGTTGGAGAACAGGCTGAATTCTGTCAAAGAGAAGAGCATGAATGAAGGCCCCCACAGCTCCAGCCTTCTCCTGAAAATAGCTTATGGCCAGACGCCGCCATTCCAAGACCTGCCGAAGCAGGGGTTGATCAACCAGCCCTGCATGTGGAAATTTGAGCGGAAGATGACCATCCAGACCTTAATGCACCTCCTACAGCAGGAGGATGGAGAAGGCGCTGGAAACCCGTACCCCATTCTGCTGGAGCTCCTGTCGAAGGTTTGCTCTTGAGAACATCTCCTCTCCAAAACACCTGCGGGCCCTGAGTAGATTCAGCCTGGTTGGTGTCTGGGGGGGCACTGGGGTAACTTCCCCCCGCTCTGTGTTTCTTTGGAGCATCCCAATAGGACAGGGTCCTCCTCCAGAACACCCCGCAGTGCCGGCTGGGGTCCTTGTCCCTTGAATCCCGCTGAATTTTCTCTTCCAGCTTGACAACATCCGCCATGTCCGACACCTGCCTGACATCTTCCGGCTGCAGAACGCCCTCATCCACTTCTTCCAAAACAGCGATAAAGGAGTAAACTACACAGTCCGACAATTCCTGGACCAGCCTGAACTTTCAGGTGCGCTACGGAATCCCATCACACCTGGGACGCGGGCGTTAGACACCCCTCAGCACCCAGATCTTCTGCTGAGAAGCTGCTGCCGCAGTTGGCGTGGGGGAGCCAAGACAAGAGGAGCCCATCGAGGCTGGGGGTGCCTCTGTAGGAGCAGTTTGGGGGGGAATTTAGGAGTGGGTGGAGGTGTCTGAGGCATTGAGATGGATCTAGGGTGGATCCTTTCTCCTGGGGCATTTGGTGCTCGGCGAGGTTCTTCTGCTATGAGCAAGCAGGATGGGTGAGACGAGCTTTTCAGCTCCTACGTCATGGTGCCCGGTGATGTCACACGTGGTTGGACACAGGCTGGAAGCCCAGCTGGAGCCAACACACAGCATGGTTTGCTGTGACACCTCCTGCAATCTGTCTGGTGGAGACATCCATGGACTAGCCACGTCTCCTGGGAGGATGCCTTGACAGGGTCATTTTCTCCACCCTCTGTGCCCACAGACGACCAGCGCTTGGCTTTCAGCAGAGCTATAGAGGACGATCCGGAAGGTTTGGAGCAATATTACAAGGAACCCATCCAGCTCAGGTACGTGCTCCTCCTCTGGGAGGAAAGGGGGATGTCACGTCCCTCTGTCCTTGGCCCTTTCTTCTGGGGGTGCTCCGAGCTGAGCCGCTTCCTGCACCCACCCACACCTTCCCCTTCCTAGCGAAATCGCCGCGCTTGCTTCCTTTCCACCTCCTAAAAACCCTCCAAAAAACTCCCCCCCCCGCCATCCATCAGCCACTTGGTGACCACGTTCCTCATCCAGCTGCAGAACAGTTGCATTGACACGGCCGCGCGGGTCACCAGGGAGAGGCAACGGTAGGGTCTCGAGCCACTTGCCCTAGGGCTTGTCCATCTCCTCCACCCTCCTCCCTAAAGGCTCCGTCAGAGGTGTGGGGCTGGCGGGGGAGCCGTGGGGGCCAAGCGATGCCGCTGCAAGGTCCTGGTGGCTTGGCGTTCAGCAAGGCAGGTCCTCGATGGCAGAGTAGGACGAGGCAAGAGGCCCTGTAACCACACGGGGTGACCATTCCCTCTCCCAGGTCCATCTCCGCAGAAGAGGTGAAGCCCTCCTCCGTCCTGGCCATAACCGAGAGCGATCTGGTGACGATGGCGCTCGCCAACTTCCAGTACGAGATAGACGAAGACCGCAGAAAGACCTACTTCGACTTCCAGATGCTGCAGCGGCAAGTGGTTCATCGCTTCATCAGTGGGAAGCCCATCATCAAGGCTCAGGTGAGCTCAGCGCGGGTCAAGTTGGGTTGTCAGGCCAGGCCAACGGGAGGGTTGGGGGCTGTTGCCAGGAGTTGAACGAGTGCCATGGCCAGAATCCACTTCTGTGGTCATGAAACGGTGGCCTGAAAGGCAGCGTGAGGACCTACAGCCCTGCCGCTGGTGGAGGGGAAGCCACCCTCATTCCTTTGAGAACATGGGAGGCGTCGGTAGCTGTTGAAAGGACTTCAGGAGGCATCTTCCAGGGTTATGTATGGTCCAAAGTGGCACCCGGAACCACCTTGGAGGAGCACATCTCTGGCTGGGGCTGTTGGTTTCCATCCTGTGAAAATGAAGCCTGGAGTTGGTGGGAAAAGGGGACTGGAGGACACTGGAACCAGGCTGTCCTGCAGCCAATGGGCTGGGCATGCTCTCCAAAAGGTGGAGATCTGTCCCCGCTGGCTGTTCCCAGGACCCTTTTGGTCCTTGGAAACGGCTCCCAAGAGGACTTTCTCTGTCACCCTGCTGGGGACGGAGGTGAGGCTGCGAGCTCCCCAGATCCTCCTTCATGGAGATGCCTTCCTCCAGCCATCAGGAACCTCCCCTGACCTCCACAACTCCACGGTGGCCTCAGGAGGCCATCGACTCTCTCCTGCAGAACCCTTGGCGACGTCCCATAGCCTCACATCTGCTCAGCTGAAGTTCCCTGTTAAGTGACACCAGGTCTGTGCGTAACCATCTGTCCCAAACCCTTTCCAGACAGCTCCATCCATTTCCCTCACCAACGAGAGGACCCTCCAGGCCACCAAGATGAAAGTCAGGGACCAGCTGCCCCAGGTAGGAAACGGGTCACCGGTCTTCTCCTCCACCCAACCCCGAGGTCTCCCCTCACATCCCATGATGGGGGCACGGAGACCAGGCAGCCACGCGGGAAGACCCAAGGCCAACTCAAGTAGGGGGTTGGAAACCCAGCAGGACCCAGTTCTCCTGCGCCAAGGGAGGGCTGGGAGGACATCGTGTTGCGGTGGTCCCAGCCCTCGGTGGGTCACATCCTCGCTGCTTTCTGCTGCCAGGAGCCGCTCAGCGTCAACCAGCAGAAGCGCATCATGCAAGAGGCCCGCTCGGTCAATGCCCTCTCCAAGACCCTGGCCACCTTAAAGGTGGCTGCTGAGTTCCTGGCCAGGGCGGTGACCCAGAGCGCCCGCTGCCCGAGTACGTCCGGCAGGAGCTGAGGATGGACGCTGGCGCCAAGCAGTTCCAGGACGTGCCGGTGGGCGAGGGGCTCAGGGCGGGTGGGAAATGGGACCCTTGTGTACTCCCCTTGATGGCCACCCTTGCCACTGGGGGTGGGGCTTCACGTCCCCCATGGCTCTGATGCACCTTCATGTGCTCCGGGGTCCCCATCCATGAAGGTTTGGGGGTCCCCTGCTCAGAGCAAAGATGTCCTGGGTACCTGGGTGGGTTTCAAAGCTTGGCTGGGCGGTGGCAGGTCTTCATGCCATGTCCACCAACACCCCGGGGACACCTCGGGCACTGCGGGTGGCCTGGGGCACCTCTGGGGGGGACGCCGGCGATGGGGGAGCCAAGGGTTTGTAGATGGACCCGCCTGGATGCTGGAACTGGTGCATCTGTTGGGGGGTGTTGGAGGCCCAACGTGTCCTCTAGGACTTGCCAGAGTTGAGTGTGGATGTGACCTTTCCAAGGAGCTGACCTCCTGTGCCTCTCTGTCCCCCTCCTTCAGGTGGTCCCCAACACCCGCCTGAAGCACATCCTGTCGCTGTGGCAGGTCCTGGCAGCTCACAGGTCCATGCTGTTGGTACAGATGAACCAGGTGAGGGAGATGAGGTTGGGGGAGGAGAGGGCATTTGCTCCCTCCCGGGGAGGAGCAAGGAAACGGGGGTACAATCAAGGTCTCTGGCCCATCCTGAAGATAATCCACCCCCCTCCTGGGCACCTTCAAGACTTTCAAGTCTTGGAAGCTCCCTGGTGGCCCTGATACGAGGTTCAAGGACATGAGAGGGTTGTGGTGGGCTTTTCAGGATCCCTTCTGCCTGGTAGCCAAGGAGTTCCAAGTGCAGCTGGACGCAAGGGAGGCAAAAGCCCTGTCCTCTGCGTTGTCCAACACCAACCTCGACCTCTTCCTCATTGAGCTTCACGAGATGATCACGGTGGAGCTCTCCAGATTTGATCCCAGATATGAGTAAGTCCAGGTTGTGTCCCGGGGCAGCCAGAGTGGTGGCTGAAGTCGCAGCTTCCTGTATGGGGTTTGGGTGGGGGGAGACCTGCGAAGAGCTCTGCTCCATGCCTGCCCCAGGCAGGTTGCTCAAGGCCTCCTCTGGTTGCATGTTGGTGGATCTCCATCTTTGGAGCCGCATGTCTTGGGGGCTGTCCCAAGGTGGCATCACCCATGATGGGAAGAGCTTCTTCTTATGCCCAGCCATCAGCCTCCCCATTGGCTCCTGATGCCACTGGAGATACCCTAGGGCAGCCCCTAGCACGAGGCGTTGGCCATCATTGGCCAGCAGTGTTGGCTGCCATTGAGAGCCACCACTGACCAGCAACCTTGGCCAAGACAGTGCTTATCGTTGACAGCCAGTGCTAGCCATGGCTGGTGGCTGGGGGTGGTGGGGCACCCATCCCACCTCCACCCACCCACCCCTGCTCTACCTCACCCACAGGCTGAAGGATGCCTTTGAGTGCTACCTGGAAGACAACCACGTCCCCACCACCTCTGTGGACGCCCTCACGGATGCCCTGGACCCAGACATTCCTGTCAAGAAGATCCTCTCCGTCTGGAGGACGGCGGCGAAGACCAGCCAGGTCAATGTATCTGCGTACGGCCAGGAGAGGCCAGCCCGAGGCAGCCCTTAGCCCCCTTCTCCCAATGACCTTGGCTGGTGGCTTGTCCCCACAGCCACAGAGGCAACATCTCCCCCTAATCCCAGTGCTGGGGGAGGACACAGGAGTTGCGTGGGGGCTCCTGGAGCAGCTTAAGCTTCTGAACCCCTAAAATCCTGCTCACCTGCACCCACCACTGCTCCCACAAGGACCCCAAGCGTCCCCATCCCTCCAACCCTGCTGAGCCATGGGGGGAACCTGGAGACCATCTCCGTGGACACCTCCCCAGCGCTTCTACCCCTGCTTTCACTTGGCCAACTCCGCCCCCCAGCAGCCCCAGGGGTGTCTGAGGATCTGGACCCCCTCTACCACCCCCATGTTGGCCAAGGGGTGCTTCTGCAAGTCCCATGCTTGATGGTGGTGGCCTTCATCCTGCCCTCCTCACATCATTAAACACTCAAGGACCCATCTTGGTTTTGTGTTGTTCCTAAAAGAGGAAGGGGAGGGGACATGGCTGCTGTCACGGGTGTGACCAGCCCTTCTGCAGGACCACCATGGGGCTCAAGGGGCCTCTGGAGAGGAAGCGGTGAAGGAGCTGGAG